ATGGGCACTATATTTGCCTTTTTCTAATCGTCTGGGACCTTCCCCGATCGCCATGAGTTTTCAAAGATAATGGCCAATGGCTCTGCAATCACATCAGCCAACTCCCTCAGCACCTTCGGATGCAGCGCATTCGGCCCCATGGACTTGTGCTCGTCCAGCTTTTCTAAATAGTCCTTAACCTGTTCTTTCACCACTCAGGGCTGCTCACCTCTTCCCCATACTGTGCTGCCCAGTGCAGCAGTCTGGGAGCTGAACTTGTCTGTGAAGAACGAGGCAAAAAAAGCATTGAGTACTTCAGCTTTTTCCACATCATCTATCACTAGGTTGCCTCCCTCATTTAGTAAGGGTCCCACACTTTCCCTGATCTTCTTGTTGCTAACATATCCGTAGAAACCCTTCTTGTTATCCTTCACATCCGTTGCTAGCTGCAACTCCAAGTGTGCTTTGGCCTTCCTGATTACACCCCTGCATGCTCGAGCAATATTTTTATACTCCTCCCTGGTCATCTGTCCAAGTTTCCACTTCTTGTAAGCTTCCTTCTTGTGTTTGATTGCTCTGTTAAGCCAAGCTGGCAATGGAGTCCTGTTTGAAATGTGATTACATGAATCCACTAGGGCAGTGCTTCTCAAACTATCTGATGTGGGGGACCAGCAATTTTTTTTTCCAATGTGCCAGGGACCGGTGCCATATTATTATCCTATTTGACGCTCTTATGAGGAAACTCGTCGCGGACCGGCAGCCGATGGCTCGCGGACCCGCACTGGTCCGCGGACCACCACTTTGAGAAGCACTGCACTAGGGAACTACTAGTGCACACCAGCAGCATCCACAGAAGCCACTTAGTGTGCAACACACTACTGTGCACTAGAATTCATATCCCTCTGGTGCAGTCTATGACACCAGGTAGACTAAATCGGTATCCAGATAGCTCTTCACATGAGCTATTCGAATATTTCCAGATGGTGGCACTACTGCATCAGCAACTTCTAGTTTGCCTGGTCTGGCTTTCCTCTGCTTGGGCAATTCTGTCTACAAAGGGCTTTGCCTCCACATCACCTGCAAATGTCTTCTGGCCTGGGAGTCCCTTGGGAAACTGTCTCTCATCTGACCTAAAGGACACCTGTGAATAGCTTGCACCGGGGCCTTCTCCAATGTTGTAGGCACTTCCCTAGCAATCTACTTGAAGAGCTGCATCTGGTATACAGACGTCACCTGGGGGCTGGGAATTAATAGTTGAGAGTTTAAAGAAACCTACGTTTCTGCTTCCAAATTTATAATTCTGCATCTAGTCTGATCCACGGATTTATCCAGTATGTTATCCTCCTTCCCCAGCAGGTTAGGACGTTCCCTTGTTAAACCATTTCTAAACTGACTTGTCACAGAGTATTCTCATGGCTCACCACTGAGCATAAGCCCCTCTCTGCATTGCCAACTCTGCAGGCAGTACAGCCGGTTCTGCCTCAGTCGAGCCATATCGCACAGACGCTGACACAGCGTAAGCTCTACCAAGCAGTCTCCTCAATACACCCCAATAACTAGGCAGGGGTCCCCCGCCACCTCCTGGCTTGCCATGCCTTCTGGCAGGTCAGTGTTTGCGTAACAGGCTGTAAGATCCAGGATCCACACTGGAAGCTGCTGGTAAAATGCTTTGGCGTCGCCATCCAGAAACACTGCCAGGTCTGTGCTGCTCGCTCAGCAGGCCACTCATTCACAGAGTGCAACAGCTCAATTGTCAAATGCTCACAGGTTCCAGTCTCCTCTTTGTGACCAGTACCTTTGTCTGAAGCAAAAGTGCTTTTCCCTTCTTAAAGCTGCTGCCACTAGTTGTGATACTCTCTTATATGAATCAAAGGATTTATTGGAACACTGCAAGTACCAACTCCAGCACACACAGGCAGGATTTCACTTCCTACTAGCCACCCCCCTCCTACCGCTGATCAGATACAGCAACATAACATCAAAACATCCACACCTCAGCACTGAGCTAGAGATACAGCACTACTTATGGGCGGAGGTGCTACCTGCACTGACCATTAGACAGTCCCTCCCCAGTCACCATCTAGTCTCCCTCCCTCCCTCCCCACTTACAGTCTCCTTTCATGCTCCCCCCGGCTCCTTTCCCCAATGCACCCCACCCCCCAAATCTATCTGCTCCCATATTTTCTTACTGCTTATGTATCCCTCTCTCCCTTTCTTTCCCTGCTGTTTGTCAGTCTTCTGTTGCAACCTCCCTCCTGTGTGTCATGTTCCCATCTCCTCATAGGTTCCAGTCCAGCCTTCTGCTATAGAGAGGTAGTGACCTTCCCTGCAGACAGCCTAGCTGCAGTCCCACTGAAAACTGGGAATTGATGGTCATTGTTACTAAGGTCAGTCTCTCTTCCACAGGCAAAGCCTGTATGACTGTGAACGGCTGCCATCTTGTCTGAGACCCATTGCCAGGAACAGAAGGTTGTGGCCATTTTGAACAAAGGAAAAGTTTGAAGCTAGAAATTAAGAGATCATTTGTAACCTGGGACAGATGTAGTCTCCCAATTCAATAGGCGCACGGGAACCTATCCAGCCCTGCTCCCCTCCCTCTCTACCCCATGTCCAGCCCTGCTCCCCTCCCACTCTGCCCCATGTCCAGCCCTGCTCCCCTCCCACTCTGCCCCATGTCCAGCCCTGCTCCCCTCCCTCTCT